CTGCCTCCCGCATGCCCTCTCCGAGGGAGTGCTTGGAGAGTCTCCTGAAGCAGCCCGAGCTGCTCCCTTTTTTCCACATGCATGCTTCTCACCTTTCTTTGTTACAGTGCTGTAAACAGTGGAAAGCTTGAAGGTAAATTTATTAAAGAGTCAAGTAAACTTTGCCTTCAATAAGAAATTCTCTCTCTTTCTTCCTCCTCCCCCTCCCTCCTCCTCCTGTTCCTTCTCTCTCCCCCTTTTAAATGAACTATTCAAAACCTGACAAACAACTGAATGTGAAGAGTGATGATTTTCAAGAGCTGCTAGTGGGGAAAGAAATATGTTATATTTTCCTGCAAGTCTGAAGGCCTTGGATCTTGGCATTACTGGGTGTCTGTGTTGAAAGTAATATAATCTTTCATGATATTTAAGGGTTCGGAGTCATTTCTTTCTTTTCTATTTCTTTAAAAATATGTTTTATTGATTTTAGAGAAGAAAAGAGAGAGAGAGAAAGAGAGGGAGAAAAACATCAATGTGAGAGCAGAACATCAGTCGGATGCCTCCTACATGCCCCTCACTGGAGATCCAGTCCCCCAAACCCGGGCATGTTCTCTGACCAGGAATCAAACCAGTGACCTTTTGGTACTTGGAACCATACTCAGCCAAGTAAGCCACACCAGCCAGGGCTGAGTCATTTCTTTCTGTATATCAGGTTTTTATTTAGAAATCGAGCCTCCACTTGGCTCATTTCCAGGACCATGCTTTTTAATTTGTGAAAGCTTCCGTCTGTATTAAGTATCAGAGTAAAGATGATATCCCATCTGTAAAATAACTTTATATTTACTAGTTTTGTAATAATATCTGGTAAATGAAATTGGTTAAAATATTTTTACATGGGGGTAGCCACATCTCTTCAGCAGGTGACCTCATTTGCTACTTTATCCAGAAGTTTGAGCTCAGCTAATGGAAACACCTTCAATGTGCCCTCTTCTCATCTTAGAGTCCATGTCACATCTGTCCTCCGTTACACATGCTGCTTTGGAGGACATCCTTTTGTGTCTCATCTGTGCTCTTTACCTCATGTGCCATTCTCTCCTGGGATGTCTTCCTGTTATTGGTGGGGTGTCCTCTGTGTCCCCACCAGTTATGGGTGGAAGTGGAGCTCTTGGGGTGCCATGGGAACAAGAATTTCCTGAGGCCCCCTCAGAAGGATGAGGTATCATGGGAAACTTTATTGATGAGGTAATATTAAGGGATTTCCCCTCAAAACTCCCATCTCCCTCTGTCTCACCATGGAAAAAGTCCCATCTTGTCTTCATTAGGGCTAGAATTAAAGCCACTGCCTGGAGTATTTGCTCCATATCAAAGCACAGTCCACTCCAGTATCTGGCTAGCTTAGCTTGTGTTCCCAGCTGCAGTACATTTCATGTGGGGTCTGCAGGGCCCTGGGCCATGCAGCTTCTAGGGCCACATGGAAGGCTAGTGTGGGTCACCAAGCAAGCAAATACGAGGAAATAGGAGGAACAAGAGAAAGTAAGTTTTTTTGTCTGGGATTTTCACTAGGAGCTTAGCCAATGAATCCTTTAGGATTTTGCATGCTTGCAGTGGCTTCACCCCTGTAGCCAATCCATGATTCCCCAGGCTAGACTGACAGGCAAGCACCTTCCCTACTCACCCTGACTTCACTGCACGTGCACCCAGCTTACCCTTTGTTTGACCCCTTCCCCTAGTGACCTGCGGGAAGGGACCAGGGGTTCCCTGGGGAGTGTGAAGTTGCAGGTTCCTGGTGAAGCTGCCCAGATGACCGTGTTTATAATGCCTGGCCTCCCCTTTGCTTTATTCCTTTAATATTAACTAGCTAGTTATGACAGTAGCATTTCTCTCTCTTACTTCTCAAACCACTCTTTTACATCTTCTTTGCTTGTCCCATCAATACTCACAGCCATCCTCGACCCATTTGCACCTTCAGTTACTTAAAAATCTTTCAAAAGAGAATTCTATATTCTCTACCTCATTTACTTTAACCATGTGAAGTGGGCCTTCTATCTCTACCACTCCTAAAGCCACTGTTCTGAAATAGCCCATGACTTCCTGATGCCAACTCTGGGGGCCTTTCAACTATAAGCTCATTAAGTTCTCCAGCATTTGATGGAAACTCTCTCCTCTCATGGCTTCTAAGACCAGAGTTGTTTTCCTGGTCTTGATGTTTTTATATTCCTTTTCTGTATCCTGTCAAGGGTTCTTTATCTAATCTTCCCTAAATATAGAGCTCCGTCAACTTTTCAAGTTTCTATATTTGGACCCCTCTTTGTCTCTCTTCTCTCCTCTCCTCTCCTCTGTTACTGCAGCCTCTTCAGTTTTACTTATCATCTCTGTATGGATAATTACTGGATTCATTTATCTGTTACTTTTTGAGAGATGCTGACCAGCACTTCCAACTGGCTTCTGGATATCTTCACTCACTCACTCACTCACTCACTCACTCACTCACTCACTCACTCACTCACTCACTGGTTCAGTCATGTACATTCAGAACCTACTGACAGATAAGCACTGCTCTAGAGTTGTGGAGACAGCAATGAACAAAACAAAGTCTCTGTCCCACAGAACTTACATTCTAGAGAAAGAAAGAAGTATAAGCAAACATAAAAAAAGTGTCAGATGGTGGTAAGTGCTATAGAGAAAAACAAATCAAGTAAGAGGATAGATAGTGATGGGAAATGCAGTGACTAATTTAGATTGCATAATCAGCAAAGTCTCTGGAGCCGGAATCTGAAGGAAGTGACAGTGCAAAATGATTTGCTTTTAATTATGCTGATCGGTTTCACTGTACATTCCTTAAGTTGGCTTCGTTTGTTGCACAGGAATCCTATTATATTTCCTCTTTAATTCTTCTAGGTGTTTTTCAAACTATAGATGGCAACCCATTAGTGTGTCATGAAATTATTTAGTGAGTCACTATCTACCTTTTGTTAATTGAATTTAATTGAAAGTAAGCAAAATAAGGGTATTGTCTCCTGAAATTCTTGGTGTGTGTGTGTGTGTTCTTGGTTCTTATATTTACATACTGGATAGTGATATTTCTTATTCTATGTTACTGTCAAAAACATTCAATAACCATTATCCTGGATAATTATTTTACACATATTCATCTCAAATCTCCTAATCTCTTCCCCCTCTTACTGTCAGTTGATAATCCTCTTATTTCACTGAGAATGTAGAAGCAATCACAGGAGAACCTCATGGTTTCTCATCACTGAATTGTGAATTTCTGCCTTCATCATTATGTGTTTGACAAAATCATATTTCAAGCTGCAGAGCGTTCCATGTACAGTATTTCTATCTAAACCATGTTGCTGAGTTTGTGCAGTCAAGTAGTGTGCCTCTCAGATCTGGGACTACAGGGAGCACCATTTGGCAAGGACTCTAGCTGCTGTGCTCTAAAATCAATTCTTCTCCCAGTTTGTTGCAAAGTTGTACTTCTTATGGCTCATTCCCAACGAATAACTGAGTGCTGGAAATGTGCTTAAGCAGGCCCATTTCTTAGAGATTTGGGATTCCTCTGGTGAGCAACTTTGGCTGGAGATCTCCCAGACAGACTTGCAGGCTTGTAGAACTTTTATTAGACCAATGCACTTTTCCTTTCTTCTCTCATGTTCAGACTCACATGGAGTCCGAAGACTCTCCCTGTTTCTTCCAGCTCTTTCTATTGTCTCCCAAGGGTCTTTCTGTTTTCCCTAATGCATTTCTTGAACCCTTATCCCTTCTTGACATCTGTTTCTTGTAGGACCCAAACTAACACAGATTTTTAGGTTGTCCACAGATTTTTATCCTGTACAACTAAACTTCTGCTCAACTCTTAGCACAGCAGTCTCCTACTGAGAGCCCTTCAAATCACTGCCATTGCTCACTAAGGTAAGCCTAACCCCTCTTTCTCACATTCACACTCTGCTCCAGCCCATCTTCCCAAACATCACCCAATGCTCTTGGTCTAGTCTAAGGTCTCCTGACTGAATATTCTCCCACTTGTTTTAATGCACTTCTTTCTCTCATGCCCTTAAGAAAACATCTGCCCAGCTAATGCCAGCTTCACTCTGGATCCCTTCTTGACTTTTCTAAACCCCATGATGTTTTTTTCCTCCTAATTTTAAAGGCCATAGAAGGGGGTTTTCTGCAGTGTAGTCACTCTTTTTGGTATGTTAAAAGAGAGGCTATATAACCTAGTGGTGAAGTGCAAACAGATCTAGAAAGTCTGAAATCAAACAGATCTAGATATATTATCATCAGAAAAGAAAATACAAAAAACTAGCTGAGATTGGATAACTCTGGGAAACACTGAGCTAAACATAAATAACCAAAAATATTTTTGTTTAGTTTTGTTTTTAATTGCAAGACTTCCCAGAGCCCTTAAAATTTTGCTAATATACACTGTGACTTTCCAAGGCCAGCATTGATACCTTATGTAGCTTGTCTTGAATTTATTTGATCACAAAATCTTTTTAAAAACAGATTATATCCAGACATTACTGTTTCTTGGAGCACACTTTGGAAAAGAGTAAAAGTTGTCATAGACTTTAGCATGTCTGATTTTGAAGTACTATGTGTATTCTTCATTTTGTTATAGCTATTTGTATATTATCTTACCCATTTTTCCACTTTCAGTGTAAAGTCTTGAAAATAACAGGCACTTGTTGAGTTGAAAAGTCACCAACTTTTAGTGAGGATCCCTGGTCTGGAATACATCGGTAACGGGAGGAGTTAGTTTTCACATCTACTTTCAGTAGCTCTTTTGCAGTCTTTTTTATAGCATAGTATCCTGGGCTAGCTTTCTGGCTGGAAAAATTGCTAGGCAAAAAGCCCTTGTTAACAGGGCTAAATTCATTTTCTCTGCAAATCACTTTATTGTAGGAACAGTGTAACAGAGAAATATAAAGGTGGAAATGCATTTTAAGGGCAAAAAGCAGGAGACAGCTGACTCTGGGTCCTGGCACAGTTGGGTGGTGGAAAAGGCATCCTGTGGCTTAGTTCTGATTGTTTTCATTTCCAAGGGTATGTTTGTCAAAAAGGTACTCTGCCAAGCCACAGTCTGGGGCCCCCATCTTAATCAAGTTGTGCACATGGTCAGCTAGTTCTTTGATAGACTTCACCTGCTCATTTAGATAGTGGGTTTCCAGGAAGTCGCACAAATGGGGGTCACCTTTGTCTGAGGCCAGAGTATGCAATTCCAGCAAGGACTGGTTCACATTCTTTTCCAAAAGCAGAGCACACTCCATGGCATTCAGCCCGCTTTCCCAGTCGTCCCGGTCAGGTTTCTTGATGTCCTGCAGGCAGATCCTGCCTCCCCGCTGGTTCTGCAGCCTCATCAGCTTCTCTGCGTGCTGGGTTTCCTCCCGGGATTGGCGAAGGAAATACCTAGCGAAGTTGTTCAAGGCCACATCATCTCGGGAGAAGTAAAAGGCCATGGACAAGTATACATAGGACGCATAGAGCTCGAGGTTGATCTGGCGGTTGATGGCCGCTTCGGAGTCTGGGTGGAAGTTCTGGCGCACCCGGGAGGGGGCGGGGGCTGACCCGGAGGGACTCCTGGAGGCAGTGGAGGCCGCCAGGCGGCGGGGAGCAGCGGGACCAGGGACCAAAGGGCTCCAGGTGGCCCAGCGCGTTGGGAGAGCGAAGCCACAGCGCGCGCTGCGCAAGGACACCAGCGAAGTACTGATATGCTTGGAAAGGAACAAGAGACAGGACAGCATGGCTTCTCCTCTTCAGAATTGGGAAACTGAGGCTAGGCCAGTTCTGCGTAAGATCAGGCTCCGGGCGTCAGGTGTGGTTCCGAACTGGGCCCTAGGCGACTGTGTGGACGTCACACTCCCCCTTGTCTTCCAGGGCGCGGAGTTCCAAGCCCTGGGCACCGGTGGCACGCGTGCCCCTAGCTCCTTTGGGCACCGAAGGCAGTTACACAGCTCCATTTATCCAGCGTCGCCGCGGTGGTCGCCGCGAGCTTTCTGCTGTAGGGCGTTTGTAATGATTTCACCTAAGTTAAAAATGCTGTCAAAAGAGTAGCACCCGGACTAGCAAAAAAAAAAAAAAGGACCGAGCCAAGCCCTGCGTGCCCCTCCTCTCTGAGCTTTCTCTGTCCCAGGACGATGGCATGGGGCAGGCAGGGCGGTGAACCAGGGTAAAACAGAAGTCACTACCAGTTTATCTCAGAGTAACCGTCCACTCCCAAAGTTTACAGATTGACTTTCTGATTATTTTAACAAATTGAAGTATGGAAATAATTACTGGCCCTGGCCAGGTGGTTCCGTTGGTTGGAATGTCATCCTGTGCGGTAAAAGGTTGCGGGTTCGATTCCGTCAGGGCACATACTTAGGTTTCAGATTTGATCCCTGGTCAGGATTCATATGGGAGGCTACAATGGATGTTTCTCTCTTTCATGGATGTTTCTCTCTCTCTCTAAAAATCAATGAAGACATATCCTCGGATAAAGGATTAAAAATATGTAAAAGTAAAATAACATCTGACTTTGAAGAACTATATATTATTGTAGTTTGTTGAGAAAATGAGGATTAACTCACAGAAGAAAATTTAAAACATTCCTAATTCTTCCTCCACTTAGAACCATTGTTAAATGTTGATTGTAATCCTCACAGATTATATATACATATATCACAGGCACAGAAAAGTAAATATGCCCTTTTATTGACTCTATAGTGGTATAGTTGAAATCTACAGATACAAATTAATGGGGGTTACATATGAATACCTCTGTGAAACCATCCACCAAAATCAAGATAATGAACATATCACCTCCCAAAGTTTCCTCATGCCCCTTTGTATTTTATGATTTCTTTCAGCATCCCTCTGCTCCACGCCATTCCAGGCAACCTACAGGTCTGTTTTTCCTCACTAGATAGATTCATCTGCATTTTCTAGAATTTTATATAAATGGAATCAGTATGTTTTTGCTGCTGCTGTTTTGTTTTTGGCAGGGTTTTTTTCACTTGGCATAATCATTTGGAGATTCACCCATGTTGTAGTGTGTAGCAGTCATTTCTATGGCTTGGAAGTATTCTATTGTATGGGTATAGCAAATCTGTTTATCCACTCACCTGCTGATGTTCATTGTGGTTGGATACAGTTTTGCTATTTAAATAAAGCTGCTATGAACAGTTCTGTACAAGTCTGTGTGTGGTTTTATGCTCTTGTTTCTCTTGGATAAATATTTTGTATGGAGTGGCTAGATCATATGGTAAGTATATGTTTAACTTTTTAAGAAACGTCTAATTGTTTTCCAAAGTGGTTGTACCATTTTACATTCCCATCAGCAGTGTGTGAGAGCTCAAGTCCCTTCACATCCTTGCAAACACTTGGTATTGTCAATTATTAAATTTTAGTTTAAAATTTAAGTTTTAAAAAGAAACTTGATAATGACTTTGAGTCTAATGTAATAGTGAATAAAACATTCAGTCAAGAAATAAAATTTAAGTTTTAGCCACTCTGTTATTTCCCTTTTAATTTGCATTACCAGAATGATTAATGATGCTGAGTATATTTTCATGTACTTCTTTGCTAACCATATATCTTTGATATAGTGTATGTTCAAATCTTTTGCCCATTTATATGTTAGATCATTTCCTTATGATTGTTTGATTTCTTTTTTTTTTAATCCTCACCCGAGAATATTTTTCTATTTATCTTCAGGTAGAGAGGAGGGAGAGAAAGGGAGAGAGAGAGAAACATTAACTTGAGAGGGACACATTGACTGGTTGCCTCCTGCATGACTGGTTGCCTCCTGCACGACCCCAACCAGGGCCAGAGACGAATTGCAACCAAGGTACTTGCCCTGGGCTGGAATCGAACCTGGGACTCATCAGTCTGTGGGCTGATGCTCTACCACTGAGCCAAACCGGCCAGGGCTGATTGCTTGATTTCTTTTTTTTTTTTTTAATACTCTCCCAAGGACATTTTTTCATTTTCTGTTCAGATAGAGCAGGAGGAAGAGAGAGAAACATCGACGTGAAAGGGACACATCGAGTGGCTGCCACCCGCATGACTCAATCAGGGCCGGGGACAAACTGCAACCCAGGTACATGCCCCTAGCAGGAACCGAACCCGGGTCTCTCTGGACCGCAGGCCGACGCTCTAACCGCTGAGCCAAACTCGCCAGGGCTGATTGCTTGATTTCTTATGGTTAAAATATGGGTCTTAGATATTAGTACTGCTTCTATTCAGGTGTTTATATTATCTACATTATCCGCTCTACATTACTTTCTTATATTTCCTGGGTGAGTCTGATTACCTTTCTTAAAGACAGGTTATGAAAATGATTCTTTAGAGTGGTATTAAATACCAACTGCTGCTACTAGTGTTTTAGGAGAAATGGTGCTTTTTATATAATTGCTTATCCCCAAGGTAATAAAAAAGCGTAGATATAAAACCCATTCAATACATGAAATGTAATGAAAAACAATGCCATAAAACACCATACACATTTAAATAACTCATGTTAATTGGTAAAAAAAAAAAAGTTTCTTCTTCCTATTACAATGTTTATCATATATTTTGCTGGACTTTGAAAATTCACAGATCTGGTAGATGTTATTTTTATCTTATGAAAATTTTGATTTCTGGTATTCATAATAAAATTAATACTGTTCTACCAAAAATACAAACCTAGACCATCAGCCACATTCTTCACAACTCATTTTTTTCTCAGTTTAAAAAAACTTTCTTTTTTAAATCCTTACCTAAGGATATGTTTTTATTGATTTTTAGGGAGAGAGGAAGAGAGAGAGAATCAGCGAGAGAGAGTTTTAATGGCTTCTTCTCTTTCCTGACATCTTCCTAAGTTTTTATGATTCTCTCTCTGGGGTTTCCTTTGCTTCCTCACCTTCTTCACTTCCTCATGAAATCTACATCATCATTAATGGTCCCATCAAATATATTACCTTCCATGTGAGGTCTTATGTAACATCATTTGGAAATCACTATTGTTGTTGTTGTCAAAGTACTTTGTTTATATTGAGAGTGTATCTTGTTATAATTTTGTGTGTGTGTGTGTGTGTGTGTGTGTCCTTAAGGGTGAGCCGTTATCTAATTTCTGTGATTTTGTACAGGAACAAATTGCTCTTATATTTGTATTTAAAACAGGTATTGCACAATCTAAAAATGAACATTGAAATTAATGTTTATAATTTAAAAATGTGTTTTTTAAACTTAGAATGGCATTAAATAAAAAATAAAAACACCATGACAAGTCAAGAGAAACTACAGAAGAAAAATACTTTACCTTTTGTCATCTTTAATAGTACTTTTTCCTTCCTGCTTTTTGAACAAAGTGGACATATATTTTCATTTTGCACAGGCCCCGAATGTAGGAAGACTTGAGTTGATCCCCCAGGGGAGCTCTGGAGCACAGGCATGCCTCAGAATTTATCCTGAGTTGGGGCAAGGAGCTGGGCTTTCATACTCCTGCATCAGCCAGACACAGTCCAGGGCCACTCAGCAGAGGTGTACACACTCAGGCTCTCTGTGTGCATGTCCTGGAAAAGCCGCCCCAGTAGCCTGAGGGCTGGTTCTCTGATAGTGTTACAGTTTCTCTGCTCAGAAGAAGCACACAGAAGAGAAGGGAGGAGCACACAAATGGTGAAAGGTTTCCAAGGGGATGTATACCCACATCTCCTAACTTCTTGCCTGACCCAATGTCTGCTGAGATCAGTGCAGGATCCACTAGAAAATAGATGGCGGATGTAAAAATTAGAATAATTCTAAAAAGGTTTAACAAAAGGATTATATACAGATGAATGGGAAGGGAAGCTGGAAGAGATAGTTCAGCACCCTGGAGCTGGTTTCAAGAGGAGGATTGGTTACCAGGTAAGAGTGAGCTGTTCGGAAGAATTACCTAGAGAGGAGCAATGACGCCTGGTTGAGATAGAGAGCCAACCTCACGAAACATAGAACGGAAGAATTCAGTGGAATAAACACCCTGACCTCACTCTCTTCCTTCCCTTGGATCCCTTGTTTGAGCTTCCCTTGGGTTGAACCTAACAGAAAGACAGAAGGTAGGGAACTCATTGTAGTACATCAAACCAGGGTCCTGGGGAAGAGAACAAGACAGGGAGGTTGGAGAGTGGACCTGTAGAGGCAAACATAAGGTATCAGACTCTCTTATGCTTTTCTAATCTACTGTCCATAGAGTGACCAAAGGTAGCCTTTTCAAATGTAAATATGGTTAAATCATTCCCATGCTTTAAACCTTGTAATGGTTCCACACAGAACTATATAGCCCTGCAAAATATATTCTTTTATATGTCTCTGTGGCTATTCTCTTCTAATTCCAGCATCCTTTACTCTCCCCAAACCCCAAATATGCTACAGTCATTATGAACTTTCTTGTAGACACTGTAATGTATAATTTTTTCCTGTCTCACAGGCTTCTACAAGCTGTGCCCACTCTGCGGAGCACCATTCCATCTAGAATTAACCCCTTTCACTTCTGCATGAGATTATGACAACTGGTTAACTACCTAGCTCTGCTAAAATGTGGAGTATATATTTAGGCAACCTTGCCTGTGGAAAAATTACCCATGATTGGCAAATTAACACTGAGCTTTCTTGAGTGTGTTGACGCTTGTTCCTGGGCATGCCCTTAGTGGAGTTCATGGAAGCCGTGGAGTTGTAACTAGAGATATTGACTCTTGTGGGGCATGAGGCTTTTTAGCTAGGGCATCTCTTATCTCATTTTATGGGG